CCTTTTCGAAGCATACTTGTGCATTGCATATTACATCCCGCATATCATGCCATGTTTTGCATCATGTTTCTTGCGCATTGCACCGTGGTTGATTGTGGTTTCCTTTTCTTGTGTTCTTGCCTTGGGTAGAGCTGGGAGACGAGTTCGTGATCGAGGAACCCATTTTGTACGCTTACGAGGATCAAGCTTACATCAACTCGGAGAACTTTGCAGGCAAGATGACCATACCCTCGAAATCACTTATATCTTTGCTTGCTAGTTGCTCGCTCTTTTGCTCTGCTGCGATACCTATCACTTGCTATATCGTGCCTTCCATATTGCCATGTCAAACCTCTAACCCACCTTGTCCTAGCAAACCGTTGTTTGGCTATGTTACCGCGTTGCTCAACCCCTCTTATAGTGTTGCTAGTTGCAGGTGAAGATTGGAGTTTGTTCCTTGTTTGGAACATGGATATGTTGGGATATCACAATATCTTTTATTTAATTAATGCATCTATATACTTGGTAAAGGGTGGAAGGCTCGGCCTTATGCTTGGTGTTTTGTTCCACTCTTGCCGCCCTAGTTTCCATCATATCGGTGTTATGTTCCTTGATTTTGCGTTCCTTACACGGTTGGGTGTTATGGGAACCCCTTGACAGTTCGCTTTGAATAAAACTCCTCCAGCAAGGCCCAACCTTGGTTTTACATTTTCCTAACAACCTATTACCCTTCCCTTGGGTCGGCCAACCCAAGGGTCATCTTTATTTTAGCCCCACTGGGACAGTGCTTGTCTAAGTGTTGGTCCGAACCGAGCTGCCTGCGGGGCCACCTCGGGGAAACTTGAGGTTTGGTTTTACTCGTAGCTAGTCTCATCCGGTGTTGCCCTGAGAACGAGATACGTGCAACTCCTATCGGGATTGTCGGCACATCGGATAGCTTTGCTGGTCTTGTTTTATCATTGTCGAAATGTCTTGTAACCGGGATTCCGAGTCTGATCGGGTCTTCCTGGGAGAAGGAATATCCTTCGTTGACCATGAGAGCTTGTGATGAGCTAAGTTGGGACACCCCTGCAGGGTTTTGAACTTTCGAAAGTCGTGCCCGCGGTTATGGGCAGATGGAAATTTGTTAATATCCAGTTGTAGAAAACTTGACACTTAACTTAATTAAAATGAATCAATCGCGTGTGTAGCCGTGATGGTCTCTTTCCGGCGGAGTCCGGGAAGTGAACACAGTTCTTGTGTTATGTTTGACGTAAGTAGTTTCAGGATCACTTCTTGATCATTTCTAGTTCACGACCGTTGCTTTTCTTCTCTTCTCGCTCTTATTTGCGTAAGTTAGCCACCATATATGCTAGTGCTTGCTGCAGCTCCACCTCACTACCTTTCCTACCCATAAGCTTAAATAGTCTTGATCGCGAGGGTGTGAGATTGCTGAGTCCCCGTGACTCACAGATTACTTCAAACAGTTGCAGGTGCCGTTGAAACCGTCCAGCTGACGCAACCGAGCTCAAGGAGGAGCTCGATGAAGATCGTGTTCGTTGTGTTGTTTCGTTTCCTTTCGATCAGTAGTGGAGCCCAGTTGGGACGATCGGGGATCTAGCATTAGGGGTTGTCTTTCTTTATTTGGTTCCATAGTCGGACCTTGATTGTATTCTGGATGATGTAATGCTATATTTATGTATTGTTTGAAGTGGCGATTGTAAGCCAACTCTTTATCCCTTTCTTATTCAGTACATGGGATGTGTAAAGATTACCCCTCTTGCGACATGCCTACTATGCGGTTATGCCTCTAAGTCGTGCTCCGACACGTGGGAGATATAGTCGCATCGTGGGTGTTACACTACACGACGGCCTCGGTCGGGCCGCACATGCTACCCCCGCTGGCGACGCACCCGGCCATGCAGTTTGGCGGGTCCTCGGGCTCCGTCGAGCCCTTCGCCAGTGTCAACGGGCCCCTGTTCCAGGGCGGCACCCTGATGCCAGCCTACTCGGCCTCGTCGTCCTTGCTGCTCCAGGCTGATGAGGCGCACCCGCCCGTCATCCACGTCCAGACGCCGCCGAGATTCTTCAAGCTGGAGTTCATGACCTACGATGGCACCGTCGACCCCTTGAATTGGCTCAACCAATACGACCAATTTTTTAGGGGACAGCGCACGCTCGCGCCCGACCGCACCTGGATCGCCTCGTATCATCTTTGAGGAGGCACACAGACGTGGTACTACGCCCTCGAACAGGACGAGGGCGGCATGCCACCATGGGAGCGCTTCCACGAATTGTGCCTCTTGCACTTTGGTCCGCCTATATGCGGGAGCCGTCTGGTGGAGCTTGGGTGTCTTCCGTTCCTCACCTCAGTGCAAGACTTCGCTGACCGCTTCCAGGCACTGGCGTGCCACGCCCCTGGCATTTCGCCTCGTCAGCGGGTTGAGCTCTTTGTCGGCGGCCTACTTGACCACATCCGCGTGGACGTGGAGAAGCATGGGCCACAGGACCTCCAGACGGCCATGTATTATGCCCGCGCGTTCGAGCGTCGCACGGTGGCCATCCAGCAGGCGCCACCCCTGGCCGGAAGTTCCCGCACAGGGTCGGCCTGTCCAGGCTTCTGCGGCGCCCCTCACCGCGGCTGCGGCACGCCCGTTCCGCCGGCTCACCCCGGCCGAGCAACTTGAGCATCGCTGCCAAGGGTTGTGCTTCAACTACGACGAGCCCTATGTACTGGGCACATCTGCCCATGACTCTTCTACCTAGAGGTTGCAGACTACATTGAGGAGGACCCTGCCGTCGGCGGGCTCGGCGACCAGCTTGCTCCAGTTAACGCGGAGGTGTTTGGCGACCGTTGATCTTCCCCGCCTTCCAGCTCGAGGACGGGATGTTTGTGCAGGCAGGGAGAGATGTTATCACCGACATATTAGGGGCTTAGCCTAGTTAGTTGTGGCCCAGTTTATCTTATCGTTATTAGGGGCTTAGCCCAATTAACTTATTAGGAGGATTATATAAACTCGTGTAAGGACCTATTTTTAGGATTAAGCAAGAAGCAATCATATTTGATCGGCTTCCATAGGGAGCTGGGAGACCTAACCCTAGCCGCCGCCCCTGCGCCCTATCTCTCTCGCACGCACGCAACGACGGCGCCCCAGCGCCGGCGACCACGCCATCCCTCCTTCCACCCCTACAACCTGAGACCACGCCCTGGTAGGGATCCGGTTCCTACCAGAAAGGTACATACTAATTACTTGTAGCAAGCCTGTTATGTATTCATGCCAGTTGGTTAATTGACTACAGAAAGTAGATAACAAGCCAGGTTGATCAAAATAAGCGATTAATTCCTATAAGCCCACTTCAGGTCTGACTAGTGCATCCTACATAGAGGGTGGATTTTCCTCGCGGGTCGCAGCAAGCCCCTTCTGCATCTCAGCCACCAGATTGTAAATCTAGATACCTGCAGGGCAATATCACAGCATCAGTCAAACCAAATGTGTGCCATTCATTCATGAAAACGCCACTAAAGTTTTATCAGATGATTTTGTATGACTCAAATAGTAAACATTAGCTTCACCATTGTGGAGATCTCCAAAGGAGAATCATCTCAGCATTACAAAACCAACATTAGAAACACAGAATAAGTAATTTGTAGTGTAGTGACCCTCGGCTACTATTATTACTTTATTGGCAATTTTTGGCTATATCTGGTCCTAATAGAGGCTAAAAGATCAGTGGGCATACAAGGGGTTCATGGAGTAGGAAATCAGAAATGTCAAAGTATTGTTTCTAGCTCATTACCGTTCTTCTTTTTAAATGCAGAAGCAGCTAGTTAGTCACTAATGGATGGATTTAATCAAATTCATGATGTAGAAGCCTGAACTAAGGGATCATGCATTGCCTTATTAACAGACAGACTTACTTCGGTCAAGAATAGATGTCTTTTTTTCACTCTGCACAGCATTTGACCACTACTTCCAATGATAATATGTTGTTAGTACACAGTGAAATTCGCTGCGAAAGTAGTATTTATGGTGAATTTTGTCATGCCATTTTGATGATATGTTTAATATAAAGTGTTAAACATCAACCCTGATCAATTTTAAGAAATTAAACTGCCACAAAGCATATACAAATACATATAGTATGCAGCAGACAACGGCCAATTGAATATGCAACTAACAATGAGAGGTGCCGAGACAATATTTAAGAAAACTGCCAAAAACTAGAATAACCTTCCACAAATCTGCAGTACTTTAACTGCAAAAGGAATGATAAACAGTAGTACGGCATGGCACAAAGGCATTCTCTTCAAAATTTTGTTACAATAATTAGTTCGCTGTGAAATGGCATAGCTATAAAGCCCATATAGGTGAAGGAAGTATAGAACAAATGATCAGGTTATTTTTAGTTGTCAGTCACTTACGCAGAGAAGTACATATAAATCACTAGAACCTAATATAGCATAACCACAAAAAACTAATCAAAGGCAATGTAGCATGTGTAAAATTAAAACAAAACCTATGAATAATGAAAAGGATGTATTTCATTCTGCTATCACTTAACATAACACCATTGTAATCTATGACCGAGTCGGAACAAATTTTGCACAAAAGGGGGAAAGGTATCAAGTCATCAGTCATCTGAAGAGCTAGAGGGAGAAAAACCAGCACTACTAGAGGGAAATTGGGTAGTACTAAGGAGGAGGTAAACTGAAAGCAAGGCAGCTAGATGGAAGGGAGAGGCAAGCGAAGAGCATATCTAGTAGAGGAGCTTAAAAACATCAGCAAATAAAAGAGAATGTAAGGGGTGAAGGCATGAGGAAGAGAATGGAGAGCTGCTGAGGAAGGGATAATGAGAAGTGGCCAGGTGAGAAACAGTTAAACAAAAGATCATAGAGAAAAACTTATAACCCTCTCTTGCAATTTAGTATTTGAGAATGGCAGTAAAAAGGAAAAAATATACATGTTTTTGAAAGAACAGTTCAAAACTTCAGATACATCAACATACATTCAGATGATAAGCTTTCCTGCTCATCCAGTATATCATTGATTCAGCATATTTTGATCAGCTCCATCATGTCCACCACCAATGCTTGTTTCTGCAATCATAAGAAGTCAAATAACCTGACGGAAAGCTAAAGAGATACAAGGAGGCATCAACACAATATTTACACAACTCACAAATGTAATCTGGAAAAATATTAACTGAGATCTGATACAACATTACAAAGAAAAAAAAACCATACAGCCTGTCAAATTGAAAGAATATTCCGATGCAGTTGTTTTTAACATGAGAAAGACCTGCACCACAGCACTAACACTACCGACATACAATTCTTATATATCAAAGGCAAACTATGAAATTTAGTTCAACTGTTACAGAAAGAATTTACCAATCTCGGTGTTCATTATTTTATTCAATAGATATTCATATAATAAAATGATAAAGACAATTTTCTATGTCTGACTTGAAGCACATAGTTCAACGAATAACAGTATGTGATAATGTAAGAAACTCATCGCTACATATTTGTTGACAAACCAGATACAAAATAACGATGAACTGGTGACATAAAAGGCATAAAGGACACTATCAGACTAGCTACAAGTAACAGATGTGAGTCCAGATCATAAGTTCATAACCATCAAATAAAGCTCTCACACAAGCATCCGAACAGAAACATTACTGAACAAATTCGCTATATATATGTTGAAGAGGTCAATCAAGCAGCAAAAGAAACAGGTAATATGATTATATGACACTACTTAAAATGGTTAGCTTAACACAAAAGAATGTGAACAGCATATTCCATCAAATAATTATCGAAAATCAACATGGATTTGTTATAACCAGAGTTTGAAGACATGGTATTACCTGCAGCATAGACACTTTCTAATGGATAACAGATATCACAATTACTGTTTTCAGGAAGTTTACTGAACTGCAATGACTCAAGCTGGACCATGAAGATACTGTCAAATGTCCGCAAGAAAGCCACATTGTTTTCCTCAGCATAAGCTACCATCGCTGTGTGCCTTATATTCTCTGAATTCAAGGGAAGTAGCTTATCCAGTTCAAAAGTTCGTCCCAGCACCCATGAAGCAACACCATCACAGTTAGTATTCCTCTTCCATAACTCGGCGGCGAATCCTGTCAGGGAGAGTACGCCCAGCCCGCCACCCTCTGCTCGCATAACCATCAAGAATTGATCTTTGGCAAAGGTATCCATTGGCAGACCTGACACAGCTAGGCTCTGGCTATCCAAATCAACCTCGAGAATTACACTTGTACTATCGCCAGGGAGCAAGATGTAAAGAGAATCCCCGACCAGCACAGGGGGCATGGATTCATATTCCATGGCCTCACGTGGAACCGGTGTTTGGATGAGATTACTCCATACACCGGTCTCCGACGAGTAAATGGCCGCGATTGCTCGTGCATATTTCTTCTTGTAGTTTACCAATACCACCTGGAAGTGTTGGGCGTCGGCGGCAGCGCGAAGCACCTGCCCGTCCATCGGGGTAGTGGTCATGTCGATCCCTAGGGGAGCAGCAACGCGGTGCTGGTCGCCGGTGACGGGGTCCCATACCAGGACCTGGTTCCGCGACGAGTGGGAGATGAGCACGAGGCCATGGCGGCAGCTGAGGATAATGTACCTGTCATTGAGATGCAAGGAGAAGCGACTGGCGGGGACACGGTCGGGGGCCTCCATGGCAGGCGTGTAGGAGATGCCTGGATAGTCGCTGCGGAAGAAACCGAGGACCGGAGGGCTGCGGCGGTGGTGTTGGCGGTAGCGGCGGAGGAAGCCGCTGTCGGAGACGAGGCGGCGCCAGCGCTTGCAGACGGCGGATGCGCGGGGGAGGGAGGACGGCTGCGGCGGGAGGCGGAGGAGGATCTCGGAGAGCAGATCCTCGTCTTCCAGGGGCGAGCGCGAGCGGGGACGGTGGTGGAGGGTGGCCGTCATGGCGCTCATGGGGAAGGCGGCGGCGGCGGCGCAGTCTAGGGCGTCCACAGATGGGGGAAATGACGCTGCGAGTGACGATTGACGAATGAAATTGAAGCCCAAAACCACCTTTTTTTTAGAAAAAACATCAAAATGAGGCTGCAGTGCCCTTTTTAAGAACAAAAAACTACTGTATTTTTTAGAAAAACAAAAAAATAGTTCTATCTATTAGTATTTTTTAATGTATACAGTACAATCACATAGCCTCAAGTATACTCTACGAAAAAGGGTTTCCCCGCTTTGTATTACAAAGCAACCACCGATACATCCAACGATAGGTGCTGAGGCCGCAGCACAAACAAGCCCAAAAAAAACAGCGAAAAAAGAAAGAAAAACTAATGCAACAATGGCAGATCAACGAACGAAGACGACCGGCGACCGCTGCACCCTCCAGAGAAGTACCACCACGCTCCCAGCACTCCGAAGCGCCGCGTACCAAGCAACACCTTCAAGAAAGAGACGACGACGACGTCGCTGTTGC